TGATTTAATGGTGTTGATGTTGATAGCCTACTCTTGTAGAGCCCTCACTCTCGGCTAGGCAGGTTTCTCAGTGGGGTACAGATATTAACTCATTTTCTGTGAGCCCGAGCTTTTAGTGTGTCAGAAATGAAGCCCTTTAGGAATTTTCAGAAACTGATACTCAGGACGGTTTCCAAGAATGGTTAGTAAGGAGGGTGAGATGGGCCCACGGAGTCTGTCCCTTCCTAGCTGTGTGAACTTGGGCAATTTAACCTCTCTCATACTGTTTCTTCGTGCCTGTTATGTGTAATTGAGAATTGTTCCTACCACAAAGATTGCTACGAGAATTAAATGAGGTAATACATATAAAATGCATCGACATAACACATAACACAGCTCAATAAAAGTCAATTGCTACTGTTGTCACCATTATTATGGCCCTGGCTGCCTCTGAGGATTTTCGTCCACCGCCAAGTATGCTTAGAGCAATTATCAGTCAGTTACAATCGTGGGCGGTGGGGGAGCCGTACCGGCGCCCTTGGGAGAGCTCGCAGCCGCAGCCAGGAGGAAGGAACGAGTGCGAAGTTGAGGTGGAAGGAGACTCAGAGCCAGAGAAGAGACAGGGGGCAGCAAGAGAAGTAATTCGCAGCGAAACCGAACTCGCGCCTCACCCGCGCCCTCTTTGCGTGCTCCATTTGTCGGACCTGCGTGGAATTATTTTATTTTCCAAAGCTGACTGCTCGCGGGGCGGGGCGGCCTGATGGCCTCTCCCTTTACCCCCGCTCCCTTCCACACCCCCCTTCGGACCCCGCCCCGCGATTGGCCGGCTCAGCCCCGGGCTGTCGCCGATTGGCGCTGGCCGGCTTGGGCTACGGGGTTTAAAGAGGGGGGCGGGGGCGCGCTCCCAGCAGCGCTGCTGTCCCCACCGTGCGCCCGTCGCTGTCCCTGCTGTGCGCCCGCGCCCGTCGGAGCTGGGATAGCAGTCTCTCTCGGTCCTCCGCCACCTCGAGGGTCCCGCCTCGGGCCGTCGCCCGTTAGAGGC